GTATGTGTGTGTGTGTGTGTGTGTGTGTGTGTGTGTGTGTGTGTGTGTGTGTGTGTGCAATGTGGAAAGGACTAGACAGTATATTTTCATACCTGCAGAGTAAGTGTAGAGTTGTCAGACAGGGTACTGAGGCTGGACAGGGCACTACCCTGACTGTCCTGTGAACCCTGGGACTGCTGTGAGCCTTGGGCGTCTTCTTCTGCCCTGTTAAAAAAAAAAAAGAAACGAATCAATAAAAGTAACACTTTAACAAATCTCAATTCGTACCACAGTTAAAAAAGTTTCAAAAGTCAAGCCACAGGTACATTTACTAGTATATCATACAATACACTCTGACAAAGTCATACTTAATATCATCTAAGATACCTACTTCCTCTGTTCACAGTATATCTCCATGTACAGAAGTGATGTAAAGTAGGCCCCGCAGGTCTGGGCAGCCTTGGACACCTCCAGATAGTCCAGGTCCAGCCAGAAGTTGTTGTGCCAGGGCGTGGCCTTACGGCTGTCCCTTGCAGGCCTGGTCTGCTGCCTGAGATAATGCACCACGCGCAGCATGGTGTTCACCGACGCCTGGTCTAGTGCCGGTTTGGTGGGAAGGACCTGGGAAGCTGTAGATCAAGAAAAAAGGACGCTTGTATTTGAACTTGTAACAGTTTTGTGCTGTGATTTGTATCATAAAAGCATGGGTTCTAATCCAAGAGTAGACATTGGGGTTTTGAGCCCTATTTTATAATACATGCTACAGGTGCTGTTGGTTTTGTGATTTGGGGAGTCTCAAATATGTTTCAGAACAAAGTCTTATGGGTGCATCTATGCTGTGTGATAGCTATTAGTAGAAACATATCGATTCTGAATCACAGATTAGTAATAAGGTATAGGACATTAATTTTTCAGTGCACTGAAATAGGTCGAGATGCTTCACATTACCATCTACAACTTGGGCATCCCTAAATGTAAACAATTCCCTGTAACCTACCCTGAGTGGGGAGGGGTGTGGCTGAGCGGCTGGCTGTCTCAGCGGTCTGACAGTGACGGGAGAAGAAGGCTGACAGCTGCAGTGACAGCAGCTGTCTCGTGCTGTCCCTTCCCTCCAGAAGGATGCTGTGCACCAGGAAGGGCAGCAGCTGTTCACAGAAGTCCACCTTCACCTGACAGCACAGAGAAATGTGTACAATTTATAATTCTTGATCAGACATATAAATTAAAGAAATTTAAGATTGGGGAAATTTAAGAGTGCCCTTCACTTGTGGCATTGTCTGTCCCTTCTGAGGCTAAAGAATCGACACTGGTTAGGCTTTATTGGCAAGCAACTATAATCGCACAACTCCCACCAAATCTTGTCTTAGAAAGTAGTTTCACTTGTAAGTTGTTTAAGAAGTCTTATAACGAGGGGGACAACAATATACAATCTACATGATGAAATCATTTAAAAATGTTTGTTTTTCATGGCAAGTTGTTCCCCTCTCTTTTGCACCATCCCTGCTATCCACTCCCTTATCATTGATAACAAAGTTGCCCTTTTATTCCTTTTTCTTGAAAAACCATCCGTTTAACAAACACCTTGCACACAGGTGTCAGCAGACGGAGGACTTCATCGCCAACAGCTCCACTGTCAATCAAACTGCACACCAGCTCTCTGATCCAGTTGCCATGGCAACCAGGCTCGGGAATCCAGAGGGAGGCGCTTCCAAACGCCAGGGTGAACTCTGTGTCTGTGCAGGTCTTTACTGGTGGGAGGGGCAGCTGGAAAAAATAAAACTTCCTTTGAACACCTTGCAATTTGTATGTGACTGGACACATGCCACGAGAAGCATTCTGTAAGTTCAACCTATTAGCTTAGGATCTTTAGAGGGTATACTTAGTCTAGTCAATGCAGAATGATGTCAAATTTTGATGGACATTTTGACTGGCAGACATTTGATTATAGAATGCGTACCACTGACTGACATCATCTGCTAATAGGAAATTCTGTTACAGTAACAATACTGTTAGACACTGCAGACAAGATTGTGGTGAATAACACATAGAAAAATGGATGTAGGAGGAGTCATATAAAGTTGTCCTAAATTCATCTGAATTTTGTTTCTAAAAAAACAGATGGTCTGAAGATGGTATGAAGAGTTCAAACCTTTCTCTTCTGTAGTTTAAAAGGCTGCAGGTAACACAGAAGTGTCCCCTCCTCCTTCAGTCCTTCCTTGTACTGTTTGTACCACTCTGTACCTAAATAACACAGGGGAAATCAAGTTTAGGATGGAAATACAGAGAAAAGAGCAGACTTCCCTACCCTTGAGGGGGAGGTACATGTGATGAACTTGACGGAAATTATGAAGGCTTAAAAGACTACAACTGTAAACAAGGGGAAATTAAAGTGATTGTCAACAATCTTACAGTCAGTTCTCTAGTCCTTCTCAAGTTAAAATGACCCAAACCTATTAAAGTCACGTGGAAGTGTGACATCAGCAACGGACCAATGGTGCCTGGCAGTTGGTAAAGGCTTTGTCTGAATTCAACTTGAGAAGGACCAGAGTACTGGTCTCAAGCTTGATGGTGAGTGCTTTACTCTTGTGTCATTTACGGCCACAAATGATCTTTAGCTTGAACTTGAATGAAAGAAAGTATTACTAAACATTACAGTTGGGTATACCTGCAGCAGTTGACAGGATGAGCTTCAGACACTGTCCTGCTGCAGCTACCACGTCAACATCCTGGTCTAATAGGTACTCATCCAGCAGGTGCATGATGATGCAGTTCCTCTGCATCAAACTGTCATGGCTGAACACCTGTATGGTAAAGAAAAGGTAAGGTAAAGGTCCAAGTAAGGGCAGTTGGTTGTTAATCCACTGTGCGTAGGGAGCCTGGTCTAGGACACAGTTTTGGAAGGCAGAGCCCATCCCTCTCCTTCCACTGCCTTTAAACTCCACAGCCAAAGTCAGGTACCCATTTTACACCTGGTTGGAGTAAGGAAAGTTGTGCAAAAAGCCTTTCCTAAGGGCACCACGTAGAAACAAATAACATGCCATATTTGACAAGATTGTATGTTTTCCTCCATTTTGACAAGAACTACAGGAAGAACAGTGACGTAAGACTATGAAAGAAAACTGTAAAAACCAGAGACAGAACAAGCAAACCTGCATAGCCTTGTCAGCTGACGTCTTCTGTGCTCCATGCTTCAGAGCTATGGCAGACAGGTCCGCTGGACCGATCTCACCAAGACACAGGCCAACCTCCACCTGCAAGACGCTCTGAGCGGCATCTTGAGATGAAGATGAGACATCTTGAGACGAGGTCTGGCAGAAGTTGACGAGTGTGCAGACCTGGGAGACAGACAGTACAAGAACATATACTCTTCCAATCCCTGACTAATAATAGTAATATTGAAAATTTCATCTTTTTTAATGCACTTTGATCATCCTGTATTAAACAAACCCATCTCAAATTATACTTTTCACAGAGAAACGAGAGGAAGCCGAATCTCTGTATTAGAGTAGTTTCAGAGCTGATGTAGTTAGATTAGTATCAGTAGTCCTGTTTGTACTAGTACAAACATGTGTATACCTTTTCATCTGTTTACCAGTACTTAACCTGATAGGGCATGAATGAACAAAATGTCCAGACCGTGCATATGTACAAAATGACTAATAAACTGGTGGACGTACAAACCAATAAGTATCTGGTGTGTTACACTGAAGGGTGGTTATACCGGCTATACAGATACAGAAGCTGGTGTGTGTTATGTTGAAGGGCGGTTATACCGGCTACACAGATACAGACCAGCTGGCTCAGGATGTCTGTCTCGCCGCGCTGCTGGCCTCGTGTGATGGCTGTGAGCTGGACTTTCTCCTGGGTTAGCATGGCTCGCAGACTCCTCAGGCTCTCTACACTGCTGCCTCCTGGGGACAGCTGGACGGCTTGCAGGAAGTGATGGATCTCCTGGGATCGATTGATAGATTTTCATTTAATTTTTTAATTTCATTCTTTGCTTCAGGGCTTTGGAAGGCACAAAACCAAAGACAAAACTAGCTACAATTACATAAAACATAATATAATACTTAGTTGTGGAAAGATTATAACAAGCTATTTGTAAATCAGGCTAATGTATCAAATTCATCATGCAATAAAGTCCTTCTCCTAGAAATGTCTGAGTGGACATTTTATTAAGCCATCGTCTAATGTACAAATGTAAGGATGCATTTGTCAAAGAATTTGTTGCCTTCCTTCTTCTGGCTTCAAATATATCAGATGTTACAAATATGTGGCTATCTATCTACAGATCTGGCTAGCACTTGTGCACTTTCTATTTCTCTTTCTTGAAAAAAAATCCCTAAGAATAAAGATGTGCAATTACATAATAATACCTCTTTAAGGCCCACCACGCCCCCTTGCAGCCTGGCCCGGTGTAGCACCTCCCTCGCCCTCTTCAGTGATCGACACTCAGGCAGGGGGTCCAGAATGCAGATGGCCTTTGGAAAAATTGCAAACAATATTAACACTATTCTCTACTATCAGTTTGCATCAGCAATAGAATACATCCATTTCTTCTTTTACATATCATGTTAACAACCTTTGGAACAACAAGTGTCGTACGTCTGAAGATGGATACATAGAACATAGAAATGACAAGATTCTTTTTAAGATCTTCCCACCTCTTGAAGAGTCTCTTCCTTGTCGATGATGAGAAAGTTGATGAGACTGACAGCCTGTTTCCCCTTGTCCAGCGGACTCCCTACATAAGGCACCAGGGCACCAACTATCACGGGCAGATGCCGGATGATGGACTGGAACATGGAAGGGAAAGAAAAACATCATTTTGAATGTATGATATTGTATTTTCTATGTAATGCCAGCTCAGGAAAGAACAAGAAATTGTTATTGTGACATCAAGTTACATAGATATCAGACAAGTATGGAGGTGTTCAAACACTTTTGCTAGCTTTTTTGCTACAACTATAGTTGCATGGAACTCACTGTCACCAAGTACAGTAGAGGCATCCTCAGCTAGACAGTAACGGTTAGGTGTGACTGGTCATTCAGTTTTAATTGAGCTAATTATGTGTGTTATGCCAAATATACTTCAGTAAACCAAATCAAATTAAGAATATCTAACCTCTGCGCAGCATCGTAGAGCCTCTTGGCAGACAGAGGACAGGATGTCACAGGACAGAGAGAACAGCTCCACAGCGTCTTCTGTCTTCCCACTGAACAAACAACACAACTGTGGTTTACAACAAGGAGAATCATCATCTTTACATTACAGTGTGTGTCCATGAGTAGCTGTTTGACTGCATTGCATGGCATGGATGCTGTCCAGAATATACTGGTTTTGTCCTTGGTGCTGAATATGCTGTAATTTAACAGTACTTTCCTGATGGCAAATGTTTTGTCCTGAACAGAATGTCAATTAAAGAAATAAATTCCTTCTTCTATTCTTCTATCTAAAAGGAGATTGAATGAAAGATTTCAAACCCTCAGGAGTTTTTTTTAAGTATTGGCATAATCAAAGTGATGGTGATGTACATTTAATGGGCATGGGCCAGAAACCTTGCAGCCTGTGACTTTGCTATGTATGGCCAACAGACCAGAGTGTACTAATGTGTAGATAATATATATATACCTTCCTCCCAGCCTCCATGCCTCTGTAATCCTGTGCACCAGTGTATAGATGATGTCCCTCAGGATAAAGACCCAGACTCCGCCCAGGTTCTCCAGGTCTGACAACAGCAGAGCTGTGAAGAGTTGGTACATCCCCAGCACTCGCCTCTTCTCATGGATGCTCTGGGTCTGTGTAAAACATGGGAAACAAGCCATAACAATCAACCCCTTGGGGTGAAAGAAAGGAAAGATTTAAAATACGTCTCCAACACTTTCCTCTTCTCATGGATGCTCTGGGTCTGTGGCAAACACAGGAATCAGCGATTGCAGACTTCATCCCATTCATACTGTTTTGGGACTCACAGAAGTGACACATGCACATGTGTATGTACATGCTCATGAACTCACGTACACACACACAAGCAGGTACACACACACACACACACACACACACACACACACACACATACATACACACACACATGCACAAACACACACACATGCACAAAAACAACACCGTGTACTACAAGACACGTACACACACACACACACACACACACACATGCACACACAGACACAAATACATACACACACACACACACACACACAGACATAAACACATAAACACACACACAAAGATGCCTGAAATGTCCCAAATGTGTTTCAATGTAGTTTTACAACTTGACAAACAAGCCTACCTTTGTCATCCTTGTGGACAGAGCCAGCAGTATCTTCTGTAAGCTGTCAGGCTGTGACTTGGCCAGTAGAACGATGGCTGACTTCTGCCTGCTGGCGTGACAGCTGGTGAGATAGTCCATGGTGGCCCGAATGGTGTAGTGGGTAAAACACGGAGGGTTGGGTTCAGGGTCGGACGGTTTGATGAACTGGGGGACGTCAGGATCGTCTTTGGACACCTCGTAAAATGTCAT